CCCACATGACAAACAATTCAAGCTTATTTTGCAAGCTTGACTCTTCCATCAAAGTTCCAGTTCGTATGGGGAATGGTGCTGTTGTACAGTCCACTGGAAAAGGCACAATTGGTGTTCAAACCAAGAAAGGTATGAAGTACATCAATGATGTCCTCCTTGTTCCAGATTTGAATGAGAGTTTGCTTAGTGTTGCTCAGATGGTCAACAATGGTTATTCACTTGTCTTTGAGAATAACCATTGCACCATCATCGACTCGAATAAGAAAGAGATTGTAAAAGTCCCGATGGAAAACTAAAGCTTTCTATTGAAGTGGGATTATCCGGTAGAGAATGTGAATGCAGCAAACTCAAGCAACACATGGCTATGGCATAGGAGGTATGGACACTTTAATATGCGTGCTCTCAATGAACTTCACAAGAAAAATCTAGTGAGAGATTTTCCTGCAATTTGTGTATCTAATGATCTTTGTGAGTCTTGTCAATTTGGCAAGCAACATAGGCTGCCTTTCCCGAAGGAGAATGTGTGGAGAGCATCAGGAAAATTGCAGCTTGTTCACACTGATGTTTGTGGACCTCATCGAACTTTATCTCTTGGTGAAAACAAGTATTTCATCCTTTTTATCGATGATTTCACCCGCATGATGTGGGTGTATTTCATGAGAGAAAAACCTGAAGTTTTTAGTGTTTTCAAAAAATTTAAAGCACTGGCAGAAGCTCAAAGTGGCTGTAAACTACAATAAATCAGATCAGATCGAGGCAAGGAGTATACTTCCTCTGAATTTGATATTTTTTGTGAAGATGAGGGAATTGAACATCAGCTTACAGTGGGTTATACACCTCCGCAAAATGGAGTTTCTGAACGAAAGAATAGAACCGTGATGTAGATGGCTCGCTGTATGTTAAGTGAGAAAAATCTGCCAAAAAAATTCTCGGCAGAAGCAGTTCGCACATCTGTTTATTTGCTTAACAGACTGCTCACAAAAGCGGTTCAAGGCAAAACTCCAATTGGAGCATGGAGTGGAAGAAAGCCAACAGCAAAACACTTAAGAGTATTTGGATCAGTTTGCTATGCTCATATTCCATCTCAAAAGAGAAGCAAACTAGATGCAAAAGCCGAAAGAGGAATCTTCCTTGGCTATGATTCACAAGCCAAAGGATATCAACTTTTCAATCTTAGCAATAAAAAGATCATGATCAGTCGAGATGTTGAATTCGATGAAGATGCAAGTTGGAATTGGGAAGAAGAGAAGGTTGAGAAGAAATTTTTTTCAAGTTGACAGTGAAGTGCATGATGAGCCTAGAGATGAGAATATCGAAGAAGTTCCTTCCACTCCTATACAAGTTGGAAATGGCACTGGCGAAACTAGTGATGATGATAATGCCACGGGTCCTAGAGGTAAGAAGTCTCTCTCGGATTTGTACGAGGAATGTCCAGTCTTTCACCTAGACCCGGAGGAATGTGAAAGATGTTACCTTGGTGTTGAAGAGCCCCAAACATATGAGCAGGCTTTTGAAGACAAAAGGTGGCAGCAAGCAATGGAAAATGAAATCAATATGATCAAGAAAAATCAGACTTAGGAGTTGCTTGATAGACCAAGTGATCGCAAAGTGATTGGCGTCAAGTGGGTCTACAAAATCAAATTGAATCCTGATGGGACCATAAGCAAGTTCAAGGCTAGATTGGTCGTCAAAGGATACTCCCAACAAGCAGGAATTGATTATGGAGATACATTTGCTCCGGTGGCTAGGCTTGACACAGTTAAAACTCTGATTGCTTTAGCAGCTCAAGAGACATGGAAGATTTATCAACTTGATGTCAAGTCTGCCTTTCTCAATGGTGAACTCGAGGAGGAAATCTACATTGAGCAACCTCCCGGATTTGCTATTAAAGGGCAAGAAGGAAAAGTGTGCAAGCTGAAAAAGGCTCTTTATGGGCTAAAACAAGCGCCACGAGCATGGTACAGCAAGATTGACTCATATCTACTTGCACAAGGGTTCAACAAAAGTAAAAATGAGCACACTCTCTATGTGAAGAATCAAGGAGAAAATGATTTGCTCATTGTTTCACTCTATGTTGATGATCTTCTTGTCACGGGAAACAATTCAAAGATGATCCTCTCGTTCAAGGAGGAGATGAAAAGGAAGTTCGAAATGACAGACTTAGGCTTAATGAATTATTTCTTAGGGATGGAAGTTCATCAAGCCGAAGATGGAATCTTCATCTCTCAAAGGAAATATGCAAATGATGTTCTTAAGAAATTCCATATGCAAAACTGCAAGCCAGTCAGTACACCTCTTGTAGTGAATGAGAAGCTGTCTAGACATGATGGACGAAGGAAAGCTGACACTAGGCAGTACAGGAGCTTAGTTGGAAGTCTACTTTACCTAACAGCCACAAGGCCAAATTTGATGTTCGCAGCAAGTTTGCTTTCAAGGTTCATGAGTGAACCAAGTGATGTTCATATGGGTGCTGCCAGAAGAGTGCTCAGGTATATAAGAGGAACTGTTAATCAAGCTGTGTGACTTGAGACACAAACAGGAAGAAGCTACTGAAGTTCTAGTAGACAACAAATCAGCAATTGCTATTTCAAAAAATCCAGTTTGTTTCAGCAAGACAAAGCACATGAAGATTAAGTATTATGCACTTCGAGAAGCTGAGCAAGAGAAAGAAGTGAAGCTGATTCATTGTCCTACTGAGTTCCAGTTCGCTGACATTTTGACCAAGGCTTTACCAAAAAGCAGATTTGAGTTTCTCAGACTCAAGCTTGGTATGATGGCCAAAAGTCTCAAGGAGGAGTGTTAGTAAATGAGACTTTTAGAATTCAGCAATTAGTGAAGAAATCAGTGAATAAACTTGAATGTACTAGAGTTATTAGGAGTAGTTGAAATGCCAAAAGTTGTGACTCTTCATTGCATCACAATAATGTAGAAGGCATCCCGCACCCCTATATAAAGTAAGTACTCTTGTACATATAAAATAATATAAGAAATCTTCCTACTTTCTTTCTACATACACTGTCCAGCATTGCTCTAACAGCTACATTGTCATCATCTATCAATCAATCAATCAATCATCTGTGAATACAAATTTGTTCTAATGTCTAACCTTATGTATACTGTCAATGACATACCCCATGCTTTTGATTGATACTGTTGATCTTTTTTTCTTGTTAGTAACGAGTTCTGGACAATGAAAGACCTAGCCTGCTTTTCTATATTTCTTTTTTTTACATGAAAAGTGTGCATCTGAGGTGTACATGTGGCTGGGGACTAACGTGCAGGAAGCTACAAGTTCGATTGAATGATTGGTTCACTATTTGAGTTATAACTGATTGTGATTTAAGTAATCCTTTTGGTTAGCTTAGTGTTTGTTCTTGTTGGACAGAATTTATAGCCTTATAAGCCCCTAGAGGGTTGTAACCTTCTTGCAGGTGGGTCTGAACAAGCAGTTTAGACCATCAGGTTGTCGTCTGATATTAAAAAAAGGAAAATTCTTCCCTAGAATTTGGGATGCAGCATTCAAATCTGCTTTTGATGAGTTTTTGAGTTACCCTGAAAATAGGCTAGTTTCTTTCAAGTGCTTGACAATCAAAGTTGCAGGAAATTGACTTCCAAATATTTGGAGCCATCTTCATCTGTAATTTTACAAGTGGCATGCACATCTTTGGCTTAGAGAATAAAAAGAGACGATGCTGAAGGATTTGATCAACCAATACTTTGACCTCTCTACAGAAACCATTGTCAGCCTTGCTAGACTGGATGTCTTCATTTTAGCATATTTCTTGTGGATATCACCCTTATATCAGTTCCATTGCAAATAGTCATTCTTGTGTGATAAAGTTATAAAATTTTAGTGTCCAAACTGGGAAAATACTTTCTAGCCATGAACCAAACACATCCAATTAAAACCTGAGTTTCTACCTCTATCATGGTGACCTACCTATCGATCTAAATATTTTATCATCTTCCCAGTTGTTTGGAATTTCACGTTGAGTTAGATACCAATTCTTTGAGCTCCATTCCAAGACACTGTGCTGCCTCTCTTGCTTCCTACATTGCATAGTTTATCCAGTGAAAACCCTTTTGATGAAGTCTTGCTCAATTTTATCTAGTTTCCTAGCTATGTTAATTGACTACTAACATGAAGTATATAGGCAAACTGGAATTTGATTGAGCTGGGTTAATCACCCCCTTTTCACATTTAAATTTCTGTCCTGCAAGTTCCTCTCAGAAAATCTGGTAATTGAATTGAACCATGTTAGTTTGGTTGGAATTTGTTACTTGTAATCCCGTCTTTGCATGGTAAACTTTCTACCATGTTATCCATTTGTATTATTGGACACATCCCCAGTAGGGCATAGTGGTTTGTAATTGAACATCATATATACATTATTTTTCCCAGATATAGCAGAAAAGTTCGAAACAAGAACAGTGGCAACAAGGCCAACAACATTCCAGTGTCCTTCCAATGTTACAGCTTATGAGTATGAGCTGTTGTATAGACTGCTTCTGAAATCTGAATAACCTGTTGAAAACTTTAACAAATAGTAAGCATATTGTTCTTGATTCGTAAAATTAACATAAATTTCGTTGCAGTATAAGTATTTTAGTAGTGGTAGGCGGCATAGATGTTGTAGCAACAGTGGTTGGAAGTGCTTTACCTTGTATTTTAACCACAGGATTCTCTGTTGGTAACTGCAGTTAATTGATTTTACTTTGGTGTTATTAGTAGTCAGAAATTCCATGAGCATTGGCTACTTAAATAGTTCAAGTATTCTTTCTTGAAATCCAACAAGTGAGTTTTGTGATTTCTTCAGCAAGTCCTTTTACTTTCGTACGTGTTTTTTTTTTTTTGTAATTTTTTTTTTTTTTTTTTTTTTTTTTTTTTAAGTTTCAGACATAACCATTAGTGTGTTTGAACTGTAAGCCTTTGTAGCGTACAATTGTTTATGTATAATATATTTCGTGGGTAACAATTACATGCATTTTTGTTACTTCAGATTTGGACCAAGAGAAAGTAAGAAGGCAATGATGTACAGTAATGTTGGCCGGCTGAATTGCAGTGTCAGCTATACACCTTTTGCTACCCAAATTCGTGGACAGGTACATAATTTTCTTAAGTACCAAATAGGTGATCTATTCTCTTTGTGCTTTGTTGTATTACTCATGAAGTTTTTCTGCATAATATATGTATAATTAATCTTTTTAGGGCTCAGAACACAAAGAGTTTTCCTCAGTGCTCCATAAAGCTTTAGAGGGTGCAATTTTACTGGAATCATTCCCCAAGACAACCGTTGATGTTTTTGCATTAGTAATGGAATCTGGTGGAAGTAAGTTGCCTGCACATATAATATAAGTTTCTGGATATATGGTAAAAAGCTCAACATTACACGCAATGACAATAAATGATTTTTGGAATGATGGATCTTTTCAGCTAAAATTGTCATTAACTCTTTTTAGCTGTGCTCTGCAATTCTGTTTTGGTTGCAAGATAGAAGTTTACATAAATCTAGTTTCATTTACCTTTGTTTATTGTCATATACTCATATGCTGTTTCGGTAGGTGTGGAAAGAGTCAACTCAGTTTCTGTAACAACACTAGGGCATAAATAAATATTTTAAGATACCTATTCTAAATTGGAGTGATGGGGAGAGGATTGAAAGGAACACAATCGGTTCAATGTGTGTTACTCCCTTCATTTTTTTGTAAATGCATCACTTGGTGATGCGCAGAGTTCTAGGAGAGTAATATAATATTGTGAGTGGGTGAATAATTTATTATAGTAAAAGTAAGATGAGGACCATGAAAGAGAAAGTATGTGAGAGAAAGTAGATATTTTTTATTATTTAAGTGGGGACCATGGGAGAGAGAGAAATGATAAAATAATTTTAGTGAGGTTTAAAGTAAGAGAGAAATGATAAAATATAGTATAAAGTTACCAAAGTGATGCATTGAAAAAAAAACACCCATAAAAGGAAAGTGATGCATTTAAAAAAAAATAAAAACAGAGGGAGTAAATCATTTTAAACCCTAAATTTGATTGATGTGGAACCTAATATTATAAGTGAAAACTAATCAAACTCTCACTTCTGATATTTTAATTGGGGTTTTGACTTCCTTAAACTACCCCTAATCTAAATAATCAAGTAGTTATCCTAATTTACCCTCAAAATTAAAATTAAAGGTTTGTGTATCACTTTTGAAACACAGTAAATTCCACAAAGGAAAATATCAAGTTATCTGCAAAAACTGAAAATAAAAAGTAATACAATGATCCTTTATATAAGGGTCATTTGACTAACATAAACCTGAATATAATCAAAATTTTAAATCTTTATTATCTTAAGTTATCTCACAGCCATACCAGTGATGGGTTGGGAAAATGTCACAACTCACAAGGAATTTTAGACATAGGGATTTCCTGACTCTAGCAACCGTTTTGCTTCATTAGGATAGTTCTACTAGGATCACAGAAAGGGCAATATTGTTTTGATTTTGTGTGTCTTTGATGGTTCCCCCCTTACCCTTCCCCCCTCTTATATCTACATTCTTTCTTTCTATAAATTTCTCTACTATGTCGGTTGATTGATCCTTCCAATTACCCTTTTGCTGTTGGGTTCCTTTACCCGGATAATAAATGGGTAATCAACTACCTCTACAATCCTCGAGTACCTGGTTGTCACTTACTCACTTTTCCTGCAGCCATGCTCTATTCCTCTTTGTACTATTGTCCCCACCATCTGGTCCATAATGCCGTAGCCCTTCCACTGACCCCTTCACTGCCTGTGCTACCTCTCCCTTGTAGCTGCAACTACTTTACTATACCTGGATCTTTATTAGTACCATCTGGTCCATAATACCGTAGCCCTTCCACATCACAGATTTTAACTCGGGGGATTATGTTGGTAGAAATCAGAAACCTTGACAACATATTATAGATCTAAACAGGATACCATTACCAAATTAGTTTATTACTCTCCCCACATCTACCGATATACCTTCTAAATCTTTTACTTGTTATAAATCTACAATGGAGAAACCTTTTAGTTGATGGGAATGGGTGAGGGGAAGGAGGATGTTGGTGGTTGGTGGGGGAGGCCTTGAGAATTCCCTAACAAATCAAATTATGTGATTATATAATCCCAAACCTTAATCTTCCTGTTTTTCTCTTATCCTTGTGTAAGCTCAATGGTCTAGTTAGAAAAATATTTTAATCTTGGGAGCAAAAGTTTGTTCCTATAAGGATTACTATCCAAACATTTCCTTTTTTCATTGGTAGTTTCTGGAGGTAGACTTATATGACAGAATTATAAAAAAAAAATGCTTCCTTAATATTTTATACTTCTGATTTTTAGGTGAGAAAAGGGGGGGGGGGATTTGGTTGGAATATATGCTTTGATTTTGAAAGATTTAGTAACACATTTACTGGCTTACTGCCAACATAAAAGAGAGATTAATTTATGCGTCATTTTACATTACATATTTCGCCCCTTGTTTAGCTTTCATGAACATGTGACTCATGTCTCCAGGTGATCTCCCGGTTATCATATCATGTGCCAGTCTTGCTCTAGCTGATGCGGGGATCATGATGTATGATATGGTTGCTGCTGTTTCTCTGGTATGCTTCTCTACCAAAAATAATTTTCCCACTGACTTGCCTTTTGGATTGCAAGAAGAATAATATTGGCCTCTATGCTGAAATCCATTTCCTGCTATCTGTCTATCATCTTTTGTGTGTATGCTCAATATTTCTAAATTTGCGGATGAAACTCAATCACTAATTGAATCCATTAATATGGATTTAATGACCAAACCTTTGTTGTGCATTGTTATCTACTTATCTCTTCTTTTGTTGTGTATTGACATCCTGTTTGTTTTTTGTTCTTAATACAGCCCTAGCCAGCCTAATCCATCCAAATGCTGTCATTGTGGTTGACCGGCCTCACAAATATTTCTACCTTGTTGAACACTAAATTCCGGGTGCCAAAATTCTTCTGATAGCTCTTGAAAAGTTCAGAAATCCACAATTTTCAATGCCATATTCATCTCTATGTCATGCATACCTTGGCCATTGTTCGGTGCTCATTTAACTAAGAATTTGGAATTACATGAAAAAAAATCCTTTATACAGACAATCTGATGACCTTCTGCCAAACCACCCGTTTTTTTGCTTTGAAAAAGACCTTAAAGTCATTGGAAAGTCAAAAGAAACTCCCACTGTCCCCTATCGTGTTATATGGCCCATTTCTCATCTACCTAAAATCCATAAGTTCCTAAGTCACAACAAACCATACTTGATTTCTCCTAATGTCCAGATCAAACTTTTCCATACAAGAATTCAAAAAATTATGAATAGAAATGAACCTAATAGATTAAAGCCAAATCTCAAGAAAATATTCACATTTATAATTATAATAAGGCAAGGATATGGTAATCTAAGAACATCTCTTGCAATTTGGATTTTCCTGATTTTTGTTATAGTTGAGGACTTGAGATATTAGCTTTGTTATTTGGGCTAGGCTTGCATTGTCCTATATTAGTATGTGCCCAAGTATCAGGCACAACCTTTTATGAAAATTTTGCTTGATTTTGGTCCAATCACAAATTGTATAACTATCATACAATCATACCCACATCTGATTATTCTGACTCGGGTACTTGAGTTAAAATAAGTAGTCAGCATTCCGTAGGATCAATAGTAAGGGTTTAACTTGCGTCAAAAAAAAAAAAAAAAAAAAAAAAGAGTAAGGGTTTCACTGTCATCAAGTACAACTTCCTACTCCTTGTGTGTCATGCCTTCATAACTCACACGGGATGTAGCGTTTCGTGTTCCAAGGGTGAAAATAAATTTATCCTCAATTACAGTTTGCAAATGGGAGTCAATTTTTCTGAGGATGATAGAGTTTGGCTATAGAGGTTGTTTGACATTGATGAACTCAGATTTTAGATTTAAATTTGCTATTGGATTTTATAAGTAGGGGCTTTGGGCTTACACATTCATGTTGGGGTCCCTGGGGTAGGGATGTTGGAGGCCTATGGGCGCTATGCATATAAATGTTTTGACATGGTGAGTGGAATAACTACTGTGTGTGCTCGAAGTTACCATTTGTTGCTGAGGCTTGTCGATGCTAGCAATATGATTGTGTCTGGGAGCATAAATATGTATTATGAACTGCGGAAATATTAGGTGAGCTTGATAGATTTGAGACAACAAGACAATGCCTTATGATTTTGGTAGATTCTCCAATGGAACTTTTTTGCCTCAACTTTGATAACACAGACAGATGTCAAAGAGTGGCGTGACAACTGTGTGGTCTTTGCAGGCGAATCACGAGAAGAGCGAAAATTACTGTAAGAACAGAATAAATGTTATTGAAAACTTCTCTAGTATGGTTGTGATTTAATTAGTTCAATTTCTTTGTCCTCTTATCTCTAGTGGTTTTCGAGATTATTGTGCAAGCACATGAAGAAAATGTTGCTGTTGCTTAAATGCCAAGTATCCTGGCTTTCTTCTGTCCAGCTGGTGTAGGAATTTGAGTTTGCTCTCAATTAGATATTGTGCCTATGCTGGTGAATGTTATTTATTTTCAATGATATTTCTTCATCTATATGAGGTAATGGGCACAAGAAAGACTGTAAGGGCTAGGAAACCTCAGCAACAAAGAGGGACTCAACCTTCTAGGTTTGTACTACTTCCTAGGTCTCTGAGGTACCTAATGCGACTGAGAGAAAATTTGCAGTCGTTTTGATTAATTTTCTACTTGACCTGCTTGCATTTAAGGGGTGAGACTGGTTATATTTAACTTTCCCTCACACAGATCACACACTTAGACAGAAATGTTGTGCCCATGAGGTAGTTCATAGATTAAATGTTTTGACACCACTTGACAGATTTTGTATAGCTTGAGAAGCTATGTTAGGAAGGTCTTAAGGTGAAGTTCTTTATGCATAGTCAGATTCTTTATAATCTCTCTGTCAGCAATGCTTTTGGGCGCACATTTAGGTGAAGTTCTATTATGTGCCATCTGCCATTGATGGAGAGTAAAAGAATTTAAGTGCTAGCTTTATTGTTTTGGATGGAGGATATTTTCCTGCCATATCTCAAAGGAGTTCACAAACCCATGTTCATTTTATTCCAAGCTCTTGATAAAGCTTCGGTAATTATGGAAATGGCCCTACTGCTCCTTCAACTAGTAATAAAACTCTAACTGATGCCCTAATGCAATAGCACCTCCAATTTCGATTAGAGTTGTTCGCCTGAATCAGTGTAACTGGTACCTATCGATTCTCAGTTAGTATGATAGGGACCAGCGCAAGAAGTCCCCTGCACTCGTAACCATGCAGAATAAAGGAGTAGTTTAAGATTGTGATTAGTGGAAATGACATCTAAGAGTTTGCTAGAGGAAAGAATTACAAGTGCAGGGGGAATGCATTTGAGTTTGTTACGGCTGTAGAATGGTGAGAAAGTTAGAAAATGTGATGTAACAAATAGAGGAGTATTTTAATGCCATTGTAGAATGTATTGTTGAGTGATTCACTGGTAGAGAGCCAACCTCTCAACCTGTTGCTCAGTTTGTTTTTAGAAACCTTCTACTAATACAATCATTCTTATATATATTTATAATTTCTTCAAATTCTCATGTCTCTCTATATTACTGGTAGTCAGCTAAGACAACTGAGGTCTCAGCGTAGAGGTAATTTTTTACTCAATAAGTGGCTACTGGCTAGGGGTCTTGGTTTAGATCCTGGTTAGGGTTACGCTGGAGCAAACTTATAGCAAAGGATGCCTTAGAACTTACTATGAAGGATAGAAAACATGTTCTTTAATTGAAGCATGAAATAGATATAAGTTGGAGAAATGAGCTTGTGCAGTAGTCATGTATATTGTATCTTGTAGGGGATACATTGCTTGAACTACTACAGCAGTTCATAAATACAGTGCGTCTGAATAGATTATATTGGTATGCTTAGGATTTTCATGGTTTGCATAACATTGTTGATAGGTGAAATGTGCTAAATTTGTGTGAGGGGAAAAGGTTGCATAAAGGAGAAGATAAATTGGGGAGACTAAAAGCATGGAAGAAGAAAAAGCGAGGGCAGAATGAGTTGATTGATTAATTTACGATTAACAACTTCCGTGCAATAAGATTAATCACCTCATCGCTATTTGCTACTGCACATTCTTTCATTTTTTTTTTCCTTATTACTCTCACACTTCTAAATACCTTCATTTGCATCATATTGCTTCTAACTGAATGTAGAACTCTAGAAATATTCTGGGTGTATTAATTCATCTTTCACATATATGTCCTGGAAGTAGGGTTCTAGTTCCGGCATTGAAGTTTATGATTTTGAAGATATTTGTTTATGTTAAAAAGTAAGGGTTCATTTTTCTCATAGTTTAATGTGGGAGTAAGAAACAGAAGGAATTTGTTTGATGGGATTTGAGGGAGCGAATGGGAATTTGTATCCCAACATAGCAATTTCTCTTGTTTGTGTCCTAAACCATTAACACCCCCCCCCCCTCCTCCTTGTGCGGGGGGGGGGGGGGGGGTGGGGTGGTAATTGGGAAAGGAGTTGAGAGAAGCTGAAAATGACTAAAGTGCCATTAATGAGAAAGGGGTAAAGAGGAAAGATGTAAGAGTATCAATGTAAATTCCTTAATTAATTCCAACGTATTTCCATCAACTTCTAAACAAGGGATTTGTCTTACCATCATAAAAACTTAACTTCCAATTCCTTATCCATATCTCACCCTCAGTCCCTCGATTCTCATTCCTGCATATAAATAAATGAGGTAAAGATGTGACAAATATCAAATAAAACGATACAAATAGCGTTAAGAAATTAGGAAACTAAATATCAAAATCAAGTTGAAAAAAAAATGAATAAACAGAATAATGCCTCTATTAACATGATACACCAAGGCGGCAAGGCACCACAATTGATAAATCAAATTATTATGATTGAACAAAATCAATTTACAGAGAATCAAAGAACAAGCAATTATTGCAAAGACAAAAAAGTTGCTAAGTCGGAGAAACTCAACTAGCAATTCACCGAATTTTGTGAAGAAGTAACTTTTGCCTATCCAAGCTTTTGATTCTCTTGGATTAGTAGTATTGGTGTATTTGGGAATTATAACGTTTTGCACAATCTGCAGAAAATGAGTTGTATAATGTGAAATTTAGTTTTCCTTAAGTATTCTTATGATATTATCTCACTTTTGTAGTCATCTCTTGGGCCAAATCTCATCATTGATCCTCTTCTAGAGGAGGAACGTTGCCAAGATGGAAGCTTAATGTTTACCTATATGCCTTCTCGTTCTGAGGTCACACAGTTGGCTATTACTGGAGAATGGACAACCCCAAAGATTCATGAGGTATAACAGAGTTTTATTTTTTGGATATCGTCTTTCCATTTGGGTATATTGATGTCTCATTTCTGATTCTCTATCTGTTGCCTTGTAAATTTTTGGATGTATTGTTAGTGTGAAGCTTGAATCAAACCAGATCATTAATCTGAACTTGACATTTCCTGTTAGCTGTTCCCTTTAATTCTCTATTTGCATGTGTTGTCCGTTTATCATCTGTTTTTACTCTATGAATTACCAGCTCTTCATAACTCATAAAGCACTTGGAAGTGATTCTATGAAGTTTGAGCTGCTTGTATTGATTTATGCTGCTACATATCTGCTACTGCCAGTAGAACAATACCAGTAATTACTGTGTTGGCTGTTCTCACTAATTGTCTGTTCTGGTTATATCAAGTATGCTGTAAGTGTAGTGAAATGTGAATTTACGAAGTCCTAATTTTTGAAATATGAACCAGGGAATGGAGCTCTGTTTAGATGCCTCTAAGAAGCTTGCTGATATCATGAGATCGTGCCTGAAAGAAGCTGATTCTCCTTCGAATGAGTAATTTGAACCATTTGCATGTAATCACCCCCTTCTTCCCCCCAATTATTTTTCTGCTAAAAAAACTCTCTTTTCCATTCAGATATGCTTTCTACCCAAACCATGATTTTTTGTTTTTTTTTTTTTTCTTTTTTCGTCTTGATGGTAGGAATTTCACTGTAGGATATTCCCCAATTTTGTCACTAAGTTGTTAGATACTATTTATTCCTCTGTATATACCATACTTTCAACTGGTTTACTTTTAATTAACAACTTTAAAAAATAGAGAAAATTATCATGTAAGCATACAATTTCAGTACTAGCATAAGAAGAAAGGTTAATATCTGAATTTTTTTTTCCTTGGTGTATTCTTGTTGGTTTCAATTTTTTTTTTGTGTGAAAAATATCATGTGTATTTCTAATGATATTTCAATGATCATTACCACTTACTAGATATTGAATGCTGATTTCATCTACTATTTGGTTGTTTGTTTGACATGTTTAAGTAGAAAATTTGTTCCAAAAGGGAACTAGAAAATTGATATGGTGTTTTGTTGATCAAGGGAATTTTTTTTATTGGACTCGACTTTCCACAAATTGGTAGAAATTTGTTTATTAGACCCTCTAGGGAATTTTGAAGAGGCCTCGACTTGGCTTTTAATAAAGTGGGGGGTCTGGGGGAAGGGGGGTATATGATCATGGGCGGATTCAGGGGTGCTCAGCCCGGTCATGGCCCACTTCATTATCCAAATAAAAAATATACAAGTTTTTAAAGTTGTGTTTGGAATACAGTGAATTAGTTAGCTCAGTTAGTCAGTTAGCTTATGTGCGCAATTTGAGCCGGTTATTGAAGTCCAGGTTACTTGTTCGACTCCGTTAGCGGGTTTCCAACTAGTTTTACTAGAGTGGAGGAGGCGAGGTCTAATATAGGATCAACAATTAAAAAGCCACTTAGGCTTATGGGCATGGAAAAGAGCAAGCCTCTCACTCAGGTCTCCTTACCAAATAATTGGCAACCTAACTGCGATAGTCGGGAAGACTTACTTTCTCTCTTTCTACGTTATTTTACCTCGCTCTCATCATCTTATGATGAAAAGCAGGTGAAGTCATTGCGCTATATTGTGGAAGCTATTGTGTGCACGCAATTATCATATTCCACTAATTAATGCACAATTATAAGTTACTTGTTGGCTTTTACTAGAGTGAGGGAGGGAGGGTCTTGTTCTAGGTGTGGCACTGGTGCTTCGGACTGGGTGAGGTTGGGTCCAGTTGGGTAACCTGCATAGGTGACGTTACTGCCCTCTAGGGTGCTTAAGTTTGTAAGTGTTTTAGAAAGAGAAAGTGTACTTAGATAGAGAGAGAATGTAATATATTTCAAGTGTCTAACCCCTTTCACGCTGTACTTGGTCCTCTATTTATAAATGTACAAACTCATTTCAGCTGGAACCATATTGGTCAACCTGTAAGCCGATCTTACCGGGCTGGTGAGCCCTTTCTTACATTATCCCGGTGATGGATGCGCACCCCTTGAACAAAGATGGGAGCGATGTGATACTTCAGCAGGAGCTATCCTACACAGGTCTAATTTAGTATCAACCAGGATGACAACTGAAATGTCACTTAGGCTTATGGACATTGAAAAGAAAAGGTAACAATATCGGAAGATAAAAAAATTTCTATGGTATATTGTGCACGTTATTGTGTGCATGCAATTATCATATTCCACTAATGTGTAGTTACAAGTTACTTGTTCTCTTGGCTTTTACTAGAGTGGAGGAGGGGGCTTTTTCTAATTTAGTATCAACAGGTCCAACTAGTATAATGTCACTTAGGTTTATGAGCATGGAAAAGAAAAGGTAACAATATCATAATTTTGGACTAATTAAAGCAATGTCAAACACAATAAATAAATAAAAAATCAACATCTTTTGACGATAATGACAAAATTATTATTTATTTCCAAAGAATTATGTAACTCCTATATAAAGGACCAATTAATAATCTAATTACGCAAAAAATAACTCACTTTCGTTTGCTTTCAAAATTCAAAATGAACCCATAAAATGTATTTATGCTAGTGAGTATCATTATGTTTATATTATGCTTTAACATATATTCTTCTGTCAAAGTTTCCAACTCTTTCATAATCATACCATCAATACAAATGCTGCACTTCTCCCAACAAATCAACTTTTTATGATATGGAATCATATACTAGGGTTTTGGAATTACGAATGGAAAAAGCATGGAACATGCACTTTATTTGACAAGCCCACGTACTTTCAAAGGGCACTCGCCTTTTATCACGTTGTTAATGTCGACTATGTGTGGCGGAGTAAGTACATTACCAATCTTTTAATCTTACACACATAGTGGCAGATCTTACACTAAAAGGTATGGGGGGGCCAAGTTTTGAATTTTAACCTCTAATTAAAATTATAGATATCTAACTATAGACAAATAACAATGATATGAGCGAATTCAAGTTTAAACCAATAGGGTCAATCGACCCCACATAACTCTTGTAAAAGCCTGTTACATGCAATTAAAAGATGGATAATTAAATTAATTAACACGAGGAAATAATATGAGAGTTCGATCTACAAATTTAATTTACCCAAATTTATGTGGGCCAATAAATGAAAGCAACATATTACGATACATGTACAATATATGTGCAATATATGTACAAAATAATATTTCGTATAATTTAAAAATATGTATTATTTTGGAATGATAATTTGAATTTGTAGTTGATAATTATGAGTTATGAAATAAATTTGAAATATTATGATTTGAGCATAAAATTTTTAGGCCTCGATAAAAATAAACTTAAATAATAATTATATTTAATTAAGTAATAAAAGTATTTATGTTTGACATTAGACATAATATATTGTCTAAAAAAATATATTTATTACCCACGTCTAGTAAGTCTTACAAAAATTATAGGGGCCGAACCTCTATGAGCCCCAATGAGAAGATCCTCCGTGCACATACACATATAATGTTCAACTAGCAAATGCTAATTATGTTTTAACCTTCATTGTAGTCCTTCGTCCTAGCAATAGTATTACATACGTGGCGAAAGACATTCATCTTATTCGCATACAATTACAATTTCTAAGGCCACGTGTGATCTGAAACATAGTGCCTGGTGGTGATGAACTGCTTGCCGAGCTTTACTATTGCATGGATAACGTGTGTTATACTCCCGTAGACTGCGACATGTTCTACATGGATCCCGATCTTACCAACTGCCAAGGACCGTTCAAAATTCTCCCAGGTTAAGAATGTTTTCAATATCTTGACTCTTAATAAATATGTGTTTTTATTATATTATAAATAGAGTATAATGCGCATACTTAGTTTCCACCAATAAATATTATGGTAGTGTATGCTTAACAGCTTAGGGAAAGCTTTAATGTAACACATTTAGATCGAGTATAACTTCTAGGATACTCATCAAAGTTGGTGCTCTATGTCTTACTGACGTCATAACATTTTTGGAAACAAAAAAACAATGGCTTAGGATTTTGGTAGATTCTTCGATGAAACTTTTTCGCTTCAATTGTGATGACATAGACAAAAGTCAATAAGCCGCATGATTCACGAGAAGAGTAAGATTAATGTAAGAGCACAACAAATGTTTTTGAAAACTTATCCATTATGGTTGTGATTATATTAGTTCAATTTCTTTGTCAACTTATCTCTAGTGGTTATCGGGATTATTGTGTAAGCACATAAAGAAAATTTTGCTTAAATGACAACTATCTTGGCTTTCTCCTGTTCAGCTTCAGCTGGTCTATAGGAGTTTAAGTTTTCTCTCAATTAGATATTACCTATTATGGTGAGTTTTATTTATTTTCAATGATAAATCTTCCTTTATATAGTTGATAAGGTAAAGGGCGCAAGAAAGATTGTAAGGGCTAGGAAAATTCAGCAACAAAGAGGGATGATTTCTTCTAGATTTGTACTACTTCCTATGTCTCTGAGGTACTTAATGCTAGTGAGAAAATATATATATGCAGTTGTTTGATTAATTTTCTACTTGGCTTGCTTGAATTTAAGGGGTGAGAGTGGTTATATGTAACCTTTCCATCACACATATCACACACTCAGACTACGCTATTTATTAATGTTTTGACATCACTTGACTGAAATTGCATAGCTTGAGAAGCTATGCATGGAAGGTCTTAAAGTGTATTTCTTTATTCATAGTTAGATTATATTAAATCTTTGTCACCAATGCTCTCGGGTACACATTTAGGTGAAGTTTTATTGTTTGCCATCTGCCATTGATGGAAAGTAGAAGGCTTTAGAGTTTTGCTGGCAGTTTGTTAGTTTTTGGGTGTGGCTTGTACTTTCTCTAGGTGAATAATAAAATTTCTTTAATTGGCAAAAAAAAAAAAAAAAAAAAAAAAAACTTTAAGTGCTAGCTTTATTGTTTTGGAAGAGGGATTTATTCCCGCCACATATCTAAGGAGTTCACAAACCCATGTTCAATTTAATCCAAGCTCTTGATAATGCTTTTGTAATTATGGAAATGGTCCTACTGCTCCTTCCATTGGTAATAAAACTTTAGCTAATGCCCTAATGCAATAGTACCTCCAATTTCGATTAGAGTTATTCACCCCGAATCAATGTAACTAATATCTATTGGTTCTCAGTTAGTATGACAGGGACCAACAAAAGAAGTCCCCTACACTCACATCAACTTGCGGAACAAAGAAGTAGTTTAAGATTGTCATTAGTGGAAATGACATCTAAGAGTTTACTAGAGGAAAAAATTACAAAGTGTAGGGAGAATGCATTATGAGTTTGTTACGGTTGTAGATGATGAGAAATATGGAAAAATGATCTAACAAATAGAGGAGTATTTGAAGACATTGTAAAAATATTGTTGAGTGAATTATTGGAAGAGAGCCAACCTCTCGAACTATTGCTCAGTTTTTTTTAGAATCCCATACCTTATGGATATTTACAATTTCTTTAAATTCTCATATCTCACTATTATTGGTAGTCAGCTAAGTTAATTGAGGTCTTAGTATAGAGGTATATTTTTACTCAATAAGTGGCTACTAGCTAGGGGCCTTAGTTTAGATTCAGTTAGGGTGTCCAACAGGTTCAAACTTACAAAAAAGGATATTACCTTAGACTTACTATGAAGGAGAGAATATATGTGTTTCGATTGAAGTATATATTATAGGAGAAATGAGCTTGTGCAGTAGCCAATTATGTTTTAGCTTGGAGGGGATACATTGCTTGAACTATTACAGCAGTCAGCAGATTATAAATACATTATGTTTGAATAGATCATATTGGTAACCTTAAAACTTTCATGGTTTGCATACCATT